AGTGAGGTGGGAGGTACAAGTGGAAAAGGCCTTATGTCTCCCTTCAGTGGAGCGCATCTTCAGGATTGTGATGAGGATGTAGATATAAGAGAGAGATATGACACTCATGGTGAATGTAATGACGGCTCCAGAAGAGATGGAAGGAATAATTTGAATGATGGAGATATCTGAGCAGGAAAGTTTCAATACAGGGGATAAATCACAAAAAAAGTGATCTATCTGATCTGGTCCACAGAAGGACAGACTCAATAAGCAACTAGTAAATGTCCAAGCATTTATACACCCACCTACATAAGAAGCTCCCACTAAGAGGATACAGATTGTGGGGGACATGTGGGTCGAGTAGGACAGTGGTGAGCAGATGGCCACATAGCGATCATAGGCCATGGCAGCCAGCAGAAAGCACTCAGTTGACCCAAACATGACCACGGAATTGAGCTGGGCTTCACAGGCAGTGACAAGGAGGACTGTTCTGTGTCTAAGAAACCCTGTAAGCATTATGGGTGTGACTGACGTGGAATACCCAATGTCCACAAAAGCCAAATGGCTGAGTAAGAGGTACATGGGAGTGTGAAGTTGGGAACAGCTTCTTATTAAAATGATTATGCTGATATTGCCTATGAGGGTGATGGAATATATTCCTAGAAATATCACAAATAAGATGACACAAAGTGTAGGATCTTCTGTTAACCCCAAAATGATGAACTCTGTGACAATGGTATCATTTCCGAACTCCATCTCTTCCATGAATTGTTCCTGTTGAGGCAAATGTGAACATTCATTTATTTTATGAGTTCATTCTCTCATTTATTAAGTCCCTGTTATGCTTCTCTCATGCTACATGCTCCTGGTTTTCTTTGTTTATTCCTCAGACTCATTCAGTGACCTTTTCCTGTCTGCAATCTGTAACTATCACTATTTCACTGTATTGGGCTTTTTCTCCTATTCTCTTTTGAGTGAAAGGAGAATGAATAGTCCAACCTAACCCTCTGGTATCTCAGTTATATTATTTTCTTCATCTAATATTCATATAGGAGTTCCCACTGCCTCTACCACTAACCTTAAGGTCAGTGGTTCAAACCCTCTATCTGCTCCTCAGAAATCCTATACAGGGTCTCTATGAGTCAAAACGGACTCAATGGCACTTAACAACTGCAACAATATTTACATAAACATAGCTGTCAAATACTGGTTCTTAAACAGATTTCTCTCCCAAGTGCCAGATCCATAGTTCTAATGATTTACGGGGAGTCTCTAATAGGAAATTATACAAGTGTTTCAAATCTCTTGTTGCTGTTAAGTTCTGTTAAGTCACTTCCAACTCATAGCAACCTGTATAGTATTTTCCAGCCTCTAAGTCTTTGCAGGAACAAAATGGCTCATCTTTCCTTCACAGAGTCACTCATGGGCTTGAACTGCTCACCCTGTGGATCACAGTCCTTTGTTTATCTTCTAGAGTCACGATGCTGCCATCTCAAAACTAGATTGTCCCATATCAAACGCATCCTGTCTTTGACTTCTCCTACTATATTCCACTTCTGAGGAATGACTTTACCACCCACAATTGCTCATAGATGCAAGTCACTATAGCCTTCTTCCTCTTGTTGTAGTTAGGTGCCAGCAAGTTGATTCTTATTCATTGTGACCCTGTGGACAGCAGACGGTCCTGTGCCATCCTCACAATTGTTAAGTTTGAGCCCATTGTTGCTGCCATTGTGTCATTCCATCTCATTGAGGGCCTTCTTCTTTTCTCTGATCCACCACTTTACCAAGTATAATGTCCATTTCCAGGAACTGGTCCCACCTGAAAACATGTCCAAGCTTCTAAGAAGCATTCTGTCTATACGTCTTCCAAGACAGATTTTTTTGTTCTTTTAGCAGTCCATGGTACTTTTCATATTCTCCCAACATCATAATTAAAATGCATAGATTCTTCTCTGGTTTTCTTTACTCATTGTCTAAAGTTCACATACATATGAGGCCATTGAACATACCATGGCTTGGTCAGATGCACTTCAATCTTCAAAGTGACATTTTTCCTCTTTAACACTTTAAGGTAACTTTTGATTTCCTGACAGCTGTTTCTATGAATGCTAATTGTGGATCAAGCAAAATGAAGTTCTTGATAAATTAAATAGTTTCTCCATTTATTATGGTGCTATTTATTGGTCTGTTGTTGTTATGTGCCATGGAGTTGGTTCTGACTCATAGCGACGCTGTACAGGGTTTCTGAGACTGTAAATCTTTACGAGAGCAGAAAGCCTCATCTTTCTCCTGCGGAACAGCTGGTAGTTTTGAACTGCTGACCATTAGATTAGCAGCCCAATTCGTAACCACTATGCTACCAGAGTGCCATTTTATTGGTCTATTTGTATGGATATTCATTTTGTTCTTATTGAGGTGCAGTTCATACTGAAAGCTGTTGTCTTTAATCTTCATGAGTAAATATTTTAAGTCCCCTTGGCTTCCAGAAAGGAAAGTTGTATCATATGCATATTTCAAATTGTTAACAAGTATTCCTCTATCCTGATACCACGTTCTTCATATAAGCCAGTTTCTTGGATTGTTTTCTCAGCATACAGATTGAATAAGTATGATGAAAGGATAGAACTCTAGCGTACACTATTCCTGATTTTAAACTATTCTGTATCCCCTTGTTATGTTTGAATGACTGTCTGTTGGTCTATGTACAGGTTCCTCATGAGCACCATCAAGTGTCCTGGAATACCCATTCTTCACAGTGTTGTCTATAGCTTGTCATGATCCACAGTCTAAAGCCTTTCTATAGTCAATAAACACAGTAAACATATTCTAATTTTCTCAGCTTTTAGAACATTTCTAGTATTCTCAGCTTTTAGTCTAGGTCCATCTTTTGTCAGCAATGATATCCCTAGTTCTACGCCCTCTTCAGTATCTGGCTTGAATTACTGGCAGTTCACTGTCAATGTACTGCTGTGACATTTTTTAAGTTACTTTAGCAAAATTTTACTTGCATGTAATATTTATGATACTCTTTGATGGCTTCCACATTCTATTTGGTAATCTTTCTTTGGAATGGGCACAAACATGGATCTTTTCCAGCCTATTAGGTAGTTGTCTTCCAAATATTTTGACATAGTTGAATGAGCACCTCCAGTGCTGCATCAGTTTGAAACATTTCAATTTGTACTTTATCAGTTCCTGGAGTTTTGTCTGTCCCCCCTCCCACTGGTGACTTCATTGCAGCTTGGACATCTTCCTTCAATTCCTTTGGTTCTGGATCCTAGGGTAACCCATAAAATGGTTGAATATCAACCAATTATTTTTTGTACAATGACTCTGTGTACTCTTTCTCTCTTCTTATGATTCTTCCTGCATCACTCAATATTTAGCCCGTAGAATCCTTCTATATTGTTCCACTTCTAATAATAAAATCCACATACTCTATCTATAATGCGTTGTTGTTGTTAAGTGCCGTCAAACTGGTTCCAACCCATAGCAACCCTATATAGGGTTTTCAAGGAGTGAGTGGTGAACTTGAACCACCAACCTTGTGATTCAAACTGACTTTGCAGTCCAGTGCATTAACCCACAGTGCCACACCTGGACTTCATCCACAATATAGCTGCCAATTTTATCTCTTCATTTTCTCTTTTCCATTCCTACTTTCTGTACCTTAGTTGAGGTCGTGTTTACTTTTCATCTTTTATTTGTTTACTCCCTACCTTTATTATTATCTTCTTATAATCTACTCACTATACATCTGCCCCAGTGAGCTCTTGCTGAAGTACAAAGAAGATGATGCAATAAGAACATGTTTAAGTCTTCCAATTACTTCTCAAGTTTTAATAATGAAACCTAATCTCAGTACAGCATATAACACCCTTTCAGATATAACCCCTGTTTGCCTGTTTCTCACTCTTGCAAAACTTTCAAAACTATTTACAGTCCTTGCAATGCACTCAGTTTTCTCTGACGTTTGTTCCACCTTTCCTTCTGCCTGGACCTCTCTTACCTTTTACCATCATTGCCCTGGTAACACCTGACCTTCTTTATGAGCCATATCTCTCAAATGTCTCTCTGACTCCTAAGAGTGGATCAGGTAACCTTTATTTGCAGATACCTTGATAGCCTGTGTTTACACTGGGTTATGGATTTTGTTTTAGCTGTTTGTTTGTTTACATGTTACTGCCCCCAGTTAATACATACACTACCCAAACTGCACATCTTATCTCTGTATCATAAATGCTTAATGCTGTGTTGAATAGTAAATGCTTTATTACTGTGATGAATAGGCAACCAGAGATAACTGTAATTAAATTTCCTTATCCAGAGACAGCAAGACTAGAAGTGACTGAAAACTGCCAGCACATGTTTAGTAATTTTGAGTGATTCAACTTTAATTTAATTAATATGCATTATTTTTAAACATTTAGTTATTCATAAGTTTTTACTATCAGAACTAGTAACCCCACAAATTGAGTCAAACATCAGGATGATAATATGACAAAATATGATAAATTTATTAAAAATCCATTTCTGGCTATTTATCCTAAGGAAATAATAGAAAAGCAGTGTGTTATGATTTTCAATAATGAAAACATTAAATTTACTGAAATGCTACCTACTTACCTTTTGTTATTTTATTGAGTTCTTGCCTGCATTTTCATCTCCATGATTTGCTATTGCCCTGTGACAGTGATGTGAAATTTCTGTGTTTTAAGGAATTCTTAAGAAAGAAGAATTAATGATGAATGTTAAAAGACATGGAGAATTTACTATAACTTAATGCTACTTTCAGATCATATAAAGGTTCATTGCAATATTATATTTATCATATATTTCTCTAGTATGAGAAAAGTGTGGAAATCATTTAAAACATTTCTATCATATATTAAATATTTTTCAGACTTTTATTTCAGTTACTTGGAAATTTAATTTATGCTACATCTTTATTTCATTAACTTCTGCTATATAACAATCCCTTAAGCTAAATTTTATAAGCAGTTAAATTAGTAAATTTATATATTTACAAAGAATTTTGCATATGCTCTTGTATCTTTTTTTAAAAACTGAAGAAATGCCCATCTGTACATTCTTTATTTTAGTAATTATGTTTTAGTTATCTAGTGCTGCTATAACAGAATACCACAAGAAGATGACTTTGACAAACAGAATATTACTTTCTCACAGTTTAGGAGTCTAGAAGTCTGAATTCAGTGTGGCTGTGCTAGGTGAAGACTTTCTCTCTCAGTTGGCTCTGAAAGATGGTCCTCGTCTCTTTGAGTTTCAGCTGCTAGGCAATCTTCATTTAGCTTTGGCAATTCTCTGCCCCCTATCTCTGCTTCTCTCACTTGCTTATTTTTCTCTTTTATATAAACATTTCTCTTTTACATAAAACATAACCTATACCAGTCCTGCCTCAGGATCTTAAGGACAAAGGCAGTCCATTCCCGAATGGAATGTTTACCACAGGCATAGAGGTTAGGATTTATAACACGGATTTCAGGGGGACACAATTCGTAGCAAATGCTCACTTTTGATGTACTTTACTTTTTGTGCATATGCAAATGCCATAGCTTTATCATAGTGTACATTCCACTTTTTAAATTTATATTTTCACTTAATAACATATTTTCCAGTTTCCTGAATAATCTTCACAGCTGACATGCTGCATGGAATAGCATCAAACTCCATAACATGGTGTTCATGGAGCTTCACAATCTGTCTCCTATTACCTTTCTAAATGCATCTCCTTATATTTGCTTCCTTGCAACTCTTGTACTTTGTAAGAGTGGTGTTAACGTGATAATGAGATTTATATTCAATGTTACTGGTTTAAATTTCCATACAAACATGTTTACTAACACCATTATTGCACTTCTTAAGATTTAAAAAATTTACCATAAATGATAAATATCATTAACAATGTCCTCAAATCTTCTTAAATTCTTAAAAACAAACATTTCTTACTTTAGAATAAGTAAGTCTTTAGTTCTTCTGAGGAGTTCTGTGACTGAATGAAGAGTCAGGAATTGAGAACCTGAAGCTCATTAACAAACATGTTTTATGTCTTCCTTAAAGATTTTCATGAAGCGTCTCTTAACAGTCCTCCAGTAATGGGCAACTAACTGTTTCATTTCAGCTTAATATTAAAAATATGATTTTAGTTTTATCAATTGCTTCCGCATGAGTTAAAGTGTATAAAGAATCTAAATTTATAGATTAAAAAAAGTCCTTGAAATATTTAAATATATCTACAGCTATTTTGTATCTATGCCTTTCTTCCTTTTTCTAAAGTAAGCAGCTAAAGAACCTTTGGGCAAGAAACCCTGGCAGCATAGTAAGCTATGCATTGTGCTCCTAACCACAAGGTCAGCAGTTCGAATCCATCAGATGCTGTGCAGGAGAAAGATGAGACTTTATGCTCCCGTAAAGATTTACAGCCTCAGAAATTTAACTCTAGGTCATACAAAAGCTGTTCTATCAGCCATTCCCCATGTAGGGTACTTTTTAGATCACTCACAATTCTCCTCAGTCTCTGAACACATTCTGGTCTCAGACAAAGGCACCGGTAAGAGTAGTAACTCTTTTGTTGTTGTTGTTGTTTTGTTTCTAGTTGAACAAACAGAAGTTTAATTTATTGCAAAAAAATCCATTATATTGCACTCACCTTTCAGAAAAATAATTTTTGATGCTAAATTCCAAAGAAAACTTTATAAAGTAAGTGTTGTGCATTTAAAGTAGTTAAGGACTCAGTAATCGACAATGTGAACCACTGAAGTCTCCTTCTGGTCAAGTAATACAGTTGCATACAATCTAGGAAGATGAGGATGAGTGTAGTAGGAGAAAAAGGTGTCTTTATATATGTGGTAGAAGAAAAAGGGAGGCTTAAATACAACAGTATAAATCTTCCAGTGATTTTTTGCTTGCCCCATTGAGAAAAGGTCCTTGTGTTTTTAGTACAGAAATGACTTATCGAACCAGGTGATTCATTAAGGTCAATTTTACTGTCCCCAAAGGAGCATTCATCATGGTGTCCTTTGGATTTCGTTCTCCTACTTTTTTTTCCCCCTTAATATAGGGGAAGGAGACAGTCCTTGACTTCCTGGAAGCATGTATAATATTCAGAGCAATTAATTTTTGTGTTTAAATGGAGAGTTCATAATGATTTTAAAGTTCCTTCCAATTTAAATAAACTTTGAATTAAACTGTAAAGGAGCATTGAATTGAAGAAGGGAATAGTAGTTGAAAACGATTCTTTGGACTTAGTGTTTATATCATTGCAGAAAATAATTATAATGATTTTGTATACATCCCTCATTGTTCATCTTTAAGTTCTGCTGAGGACTGAACTTCCTTAATTTTTACACCATTCATTTGCCCCATGCCTTTTCTAGGACTCTCTAGCCCCATCTGACAAGAATATCCTTTAAAACCATTAAAATATTTTCCTGCAATATATCAGCCCTCTTACTTTATCAGTCCTATTCAAAGTACTTACGCTCTTATCAAGAATGTATGGAGACACCAAAATTAAGAAGGAACCACTTCCAAAATCTCTGTAACTGTGTTTGTGAGTACTTCTGCATCCTACTCAATCCTTCTTCAACATTAAACTGGATTATTGATCAATTCTTACTCAGTGTCTAATACTCCATGAGTTATGACTTGTTGAAAGCAGACACTGCATCCATTTAATCATTTATTTTTAAGTCCATTAGCTAACCTATTTTAATCCCTTCTTGCCAAAACACACACAAAAAACAAGCTTCTACCATTGTTGTTGTTGTCAGGTGCCATTGAGTTTGTACTGACTTGTATTGATGCTGTGCACAACAGAACAAAGCACTGCCTGGTTCTGCACCAACCTCACAATCGTTATTATGCCGGAGTCCATTATTGCCACCACTGTGCCAATCCTTCTTGTTGGGGGGTCTTTCTCTTTTTCTCTGATCCTCCACTTTACCAAGCATTATATCCTTCTCCAGTGATTGGTCCCTTCTGACAAAATGTCCAAAGTATGAGAGATGAAGTTTGGCCATCCTGGCTTCCAAGGAGTACTCTGGTTGTACTTCTTCCAACACAGATCTGTTTGTTCTTTTGGCAATATGGATAGAGCTCTGCTCTCCATAAAAGAGAACGGGAGTGGACTCTCCCACAGTTCAGAAGAGAAATTGGGACATCTGTGTTCTACATACTATCTGGGTCGCTATATAGTTTTGAGTGCCTAGTATGAATCAGGGTCTTTACAAATATAATTTTTATTTACTTTGAAATTTTATTTATTGAAAATAAGGTATTAAAGTAATAGAAACTCAAACAAGAACATGAGCACAAACACATTATTTAATAATTTCATACGTTTTCAGTTACCTTTCAGTGCTTATTCTGTGCAAGTGCTTTCTAATTGAAAATTTTTTTTATAGAACTCTACATGTTTACCTTACAATATTTTATATTTTACTAGATATCTTTTCTTATATATCCCAAGCCTTACTTCTCTCACCCACTCCCAACCTCTCTGAGACAACAACAATTAGATTTTCAAGCCTTGCATTTAGATCCATAACCAGTTGTTTTAATATTTGCTTTGAGCTAGGAGTCCCTATACTGCAGCAAATGCCCCTCACCCTTTCCCAGTCAATATGAGACACATCTACACAACTGGGACAATATTTCTAGTAATATACAGACTCTAATTTTTTAAATCAGTCCAGACCTATGTACTTGTAGGGTTTTTTTTTCTTTTTTTTTGCTAACATGTAATTTGTAATACTTAGAATTAAAATCACATAGCACCAATTATACCAAATAGAACTACTTGTTTTTAACATGCATTTAAATATAGGTAGGCTTCTGGTCAAATCATGTGATCTTTATGTCAAGACCAGATTTACTGAAAGCTGGAAATCAGCCTAATTTTCCCATCCTCATTTTTGTTCTAGGATTTCTACAAACTAGACCATCTTGGAGGTCTTCTAGCTTAGGCACAAATCGTCTGTATCAGGAAAGTGCTAAAGTAATTTAATTGGGTGTGATGGTGTAATATAGGTTAAGCACATTGAGCCTAGAAACTGAAGACTTGAATCCACATTGATATGGGGAAACTATTGGCCATTCTCTAACTCAGTTTCCTTATCTGTAAATTGAGGGAAATTTATATCTAAGTCATATGATTGCTGTGAAAATTAAATGCAGATACATAATGCTTTGGAATCAGACTATCTGGATTCAAATACTAGTTCCACATGCCTTTTGAAATGTGACTTTGGGCAATCTACTTAACGTCTCTGTGCCTCAGATGATTTAATAGTAAAAGAATACTACCAGGTCATAAGATTGTCATGAGTGATATATGAATTGATATATGTAACTTATTTAGAATAGGGCCTGGTACATAATAAGTGCTAAATATAGGAAACATTCATGGTACCTACAAGTGCTCAATAATTATTTTTCTTAGGGAGTCTTGGGTGGAGCCGTGGGATAAGCACTGGACTGATTACCACTATGTTGGTGGCTCAAACACCCCACTTGATCTTTGGAAATCCTAAATAGGGTTTCTATGAGTAGGAGCTTAACAACAACAACGGCAGTGTTATTACTGGTTTCAAGGTGTCTCTTAGTTGGCTTTCAAGTGTATAAAAGCAAGAGTTAGAGCAAACACATACAACCTTAGCTTAAACAAGCATCTGGTAGCTACTAAGTGTGATATAGGCAGTCCCTGGGTTATGAAGGAGATCCATTTTTAGTGTGTCTTCAAGCTGAATTTATAGGTAAGTCAGAACAGGTGTTTTGCATGGTTCTTATTTAGCCTCATTTTATTCCAAGAAAAGGTTCAAAACAGTCTTTCCCAGGATTCAAAAGCTTCATGTAGTTCAAGTGAAGGTGATTGTGAAGAAAAATTGTTTTGAGTAAGAGATAGGTGATTGTTCAGTGGTTTAAAAGTGAGGGCAAATTTACATAACATTAAAGATAAAGTATGAATTGTCACTAAATTAGCAATCATAGCCCCAGGTCTTACTGTACGTGTAAACAGAAACACAGCTGGCCAGAAATACTAAGATTGGAGCTTAATAATGTATTCTTACAATTGCCTTTCTCAGGACCTCTTTTACATCTCTATTCCTCAGACTATAGATAAGGGGATTCAGCATGGGGATCACCACTGTGTAAAACACAGATACTATCTTGTTCTGGTCATTTGAGTGTGTGGATGTGGGCATCACATAAATAAACGTAATAGTCCCATAGTAGAGAGTAACTGCAGTGAGGTGGGAGGTACAAGTGGAAAAGGCCTTATGTCTCCCTTCAGTGGAGCGCATCTTCAGGATTGTGATGAGGATGTAGACATAAGAGAGAGCTATGACACACATGGTGGATGAAATGACGGCTCCAGAAGAGATGGAAGGAATAATTTGAATGATGGAGGGCTCTGAACAGGAAAGTTTCACAACAGGGGAGTAATCACAGAAAAAGTGATCTATCTTATCTGGTCCACAGAAGGACAGACCCAATAAGCAACTAGTAAATGTCCAAGCATTTATACACCCACCCACGTAGGAAGCTCCCACTAAGAGGATGCAGATTCTGGGGGACATGTGGGTTGAGTAGGACAGTGGTGAGCAGATGGCCACATAGCGATCATAGGCCATAGCACCCAGCAGAAAGCATTCAGTTGTCCCAAACATGACCACAGAATTGAGCTGGACTTTACAGGCAGTGACAAGGAGGACTGTTCTGTGTCTAAGAAGTCCTATAAGCATAATAGGTGTGACTGATGTGGAAAACCCAATGTCCACAAAAGCCAAATGGCTGAGTAAGAGGTACATGGGAGTGTGAAGTTGGGAACAGCTTCTTATTAAAATGATTATGCTGATGTTGCCTATTACGGTGACAGAATAGATTCCTAGAAATAACACAAATAAGACGATAGAAAGTATAGGATCTTGTGTTAACCCCAAAATGATGAACTCTGTCACAATGGTATCATTTCCAAACTCCATCTCGTCCATGAATTGTTCCTGTTGAGACAAATGTGAACATTCATTTATTTTATGAGTTCATTCTCTCATTTATTAAGTCCCTGTTATGCTTCTCTCATGCTACATGCTCCTGGTTTTCTTTCTTTCTTTTTTTGTTCCTCAGACTCATTCACAGTGAAGGAAAAGTCCTTCTCCAACCTGTAATTACAAATAGTCTACTGAATTTGGCTTTTTGACTTCTTCTTTTTAACAAAATGAGAATAATCCAACCTAACCCTCTGGTATCTCAGTTATATTATTTTCTTCATATAATATTTATATGGGAATTCCCACTGGAATCCACCACTAACCTTAAGGTCAGTGATTCAAACCCTCTATCTGCTCTTTGGAAACCCTATACATGGTCTTTATGAGTTGAAACATACTCAAAGGCACTTAAGGACAGTAACAATATTTATATAAAAAGACCACTCAAATCTTGGTTCTTAAACAGATTTCTCTCCCAGTTTCCAGATCGATAGTTTCAATGACTTATTGGGTTCTCCAGTGGGAAATTACACACGTTTCTCAAATCTTTGGTTGTTGTTAAGTTCTGTTGAGTCACTTCCAACTCACAACAACCTGTATAGTGTTATCCAGTATCTAAAGCTTCACAGGAGCAGAAAGCCTCATCTTTCTCCCGTAGAGTGGCTAGTAGTTCAAACTGCTCACCTGGTAGCTCACAGTTCAGCATTTATCCTCTAGGGCCACTGCACTGCACAAGTGTCAAACCTAGACTGCCCTATATCAAACTCATCCTGTCTTTTACTTCTTATCCTATGTTCTACTTCTGAGGAATGACTTCACCATCCACAATCACCCATATATGCAACTTGAAAATCATCCTAGCCTTCTTTCTGTTGTTGTTATTGTTAGGTGATGTCGAGTGGTTCTGACTCACTGTGATCCTATGTAAAACACATGGTCCTGTGCCATCCTCACAATTGTTAATTTTGAGCCCATTTTGCTGCCACTGTGTCAGTCTATCTCATTGAGAGTCTTCCTCTTTTCTCTAACCCTTCACTTTACTCAGTATAATGTCCTTTTCTAGAGACTGGTCCCACTAAAAACCTGTCCAAAGTATAAGAGATGAAGTTTCACCATCTGTGCTTCTAAGAAGCATTCTGATTATATTTCTTCCAAGACTGATTTGTTTGTTCCTTTAGTAGTACTTTCAATTTTCTCCAACACCATAATTCAAATGTATAGATTCTTCTCTGGTTTTCCTTACTCAGTGTCTAACTTTCACATTCACATGAGGTGACTGAACCTACCATTGTTCGGTTAGATGCACCTCAGTCTTCAAAGTGACATTTTTGCTCCTTAACATTTTAAAGGGGTCTTTTGCAGAAGATTTGCCTAATGTAATACATTGTTTTATTTTTTAGCAGCTGTTTCCATGAATGTTGATTGTGGACCAAGCAAAATGAAGCCTTAGACAAATTCAGTGTTTTCTCCATTCATTATGGTGCTATTTATTGGTCTAGTTGTGTGGATATTCACTTAGTTTATATTGAGGTGCAGTTCATACTGAAAGCTGTTGTCTTTGATCTTCACCAATAAGTATTTTAAGTTCTCTTGGCTTCCAGAAAGGAAGGTTGTATCTATCATCTGCCTATTGCAAATTGCTAACAAGTATTCCTCCATCCTGATGCCACATTCTTCATATAATCCAGTTTCTTGGATTATTTCCTCAGCATATGGATTGAATAAGTATGATGAAAGGATACAACTCTGGCATACACCATTCCTGATTTTAAACTATTCTGTATCCCCTTGTTATATTTGAATAACTACCTCTTGGTCTATGTACAGGTTCCTCATGAGCACAATCAAGTGTCCCGGAATACCCATTGATCACAGTGTTGTCTATAGCCTAAAGCCTTTCTATGGCCTATAAAGCACAAGTAAACATCTTTATGGTATTCTCTGCTTTCTGCCAAGATCCATCTGATGTCAGCAAAGATATCCTAGTTCTATGTACACCCTCTTTGGAGTCTGGCTTGATTTACGGACAGTTCCCTGTAAATGTACTGCTGCAGCATTTTTTAAATTTACTTCAGCACATTTTTTTTTCTTGCATGTGATATTAATGATACTCTCTGATGGCTTCCACATTCTGTTTGGTAATCTTTTTTTGGAATCGGCAAAATATGGATCTATTCCTGGCAGTTGGGCAGGAAGTTGTCTTCCAAATTTCTTGACATAGTTGAATGAGCCCCTCCAGTTTGAAACATTTCAATTTGTATTTGATCAATTCCTGGAGTTTTGTTTTCCACCAGTGCCTTCATTGTAGCTTGGACATCTTCTTTCAACAACCTTGGGTCTTGATCATATGCTACAACTTGAAATAGTTGAACATTAACCAATTATTTTTGTACAAAGACTCTGTGTAGTCTTTCTCTCTTCTTTTGATTCTTCTTGCATCATTCAATAGTTTGCCCACAGAATACTTCAATATTGTACTACCTGTAATAGTAAAATACATATAGTCTGTCTACAATGTGTTGTTGTTATTGTTGTTATATGCCATGGAGTTGGTTCCAACTCATAGCAACCCTGTACAGGGTTTTTGAGGTTGTAAATCTTTATAGGAACATAAAGCCTCATCTTTCTCCTGCAGAACAGCTGGTGGTTTCGAACTTCTGACCGTGTAATGCTGTCAAATAGGTTCCACCCATAGAGACCCTGTATAGGGTTTCCAAGGAGCAATTGGTGAACTTGAACCACTGATCTTGCAATTCAAACCGAATTTGCAGTCCAATGCATTAATCCATAGCACCATACCAGGACTCTATCTACAATGTAGCTCCCAATTTTATCCCTTCATTTCCTACTGTCTGTACTTTTGCCATAGCCCTGTTCACTTTTCATCTTTTATTTATTTACCTAATTACCTCCCTAACTTTATTATTATCTTCTTATATCTACTGCCTAAGTGAGCTCTTGCTGAAGCACAAAGCACAAAGATGATGCAAAAAGAGCATGTTTAAGGTTTCCAATTACTGCTCAAGTTCTAATGATGAAACCTAACCTGCATTGGTTAATGCGCTGGACTGCAAAGTCAGTTTGAACCACAAGATTGGCAGTTAAAAGTCACCACCCACTCCTAGGAAACCTGATACTGGGTGCTATGAGTCGGAATGGACTGGAAGCACTTAACAACAATAGTCTCATTAGTACAGCATATAACACCCGTTCAGATATGACCCTGTATATCACGCTCTGCCTGTCTCTCACTCTTGTAAACCTTTCCAGAATTACGTAGAGTCCTGGCAATGCACTCAATTTTCTCTGACATTTGTTTCACCTTTCCTTCTGCCTGGAGCTCTCCCAGCTTTTTCCATCAGCACCCTGGTAACACTTGACCTTCTTTAAGAGCCATATCTCTCCAATGCCTCTCTGACTCCTAGAGTGGATCAGGTAGCCTTTATTTGCAGATACCTAGATAGCCTGTGTTTACACTGGGTTATGGATTTTTTTTCAGCTGTTTGCTTGTCTACATGTCATTCTCCCCAGTTAATACATACACTACTCAATCTGTACATCTTATCTCTGTATCATAAATGCTTAGTGCTGTGTTGAATAGTGAATGCATTATTATTATTATAGATAACTGTAATTTAGTATCCTTGTCCAAAGACACCAAGACTAGTAGTGCATGAAGACTACCAGCACATTTTTAGAACATGGAAAATGCTGTAACTGTGGTGTAAATAAAATGAAACAATGATTTATTTGGTTTCTGCATAAAACATTCAGAAACATGTTGGCAAACGAAATCACTTGAAGATTCAAAAGAAATGTTCTTTTCATATCTGACTATCTCACACATCAACTATTAGTTATTTGGTTTATTTCTTTTCAAGATTTTCCCTCAAGACATATTTTAATCTAAATTTTATCACATTGTAGATAGATTTTTAATGCTGCTTTTTTTATTTTCCATTTTAGAATAAGCATTTATCACATTTGTCACTAACATTATTTGTGAGACCTGCATAATAACCTTGTGTGTAATTCATCCTTAATTCAATTAATACCCATTATTTTTAAGCATTTAATTGTTCATAAATATTTACTCTCAGAACTAGCAATCCCACAAATTGAATCAAACATCAGGAGGATAATGTGAGAAAATATGATAAATTTATTAAAAATCCATTTCTGGATATTTATCCTAAGGGAATAATAGAAAAGCAGTGTTTTATGATTTGCGATAATAAAAACACTAAACTTACCACAGTGCTACCTATCTTTGTTATTTTATTGAGCTCTTGCCTGGATTTTCATTTCCATGATTTGCTATCATCCTGTGACAATGAGGTGAAATTCCTGTGTTTTAAGGAATTTCTAAGAAAGAAGAAATAATGACAAATAATAAAAGATACAGAGAATTTACTATAGTTCAATGCTAGTTTCAGATCATATTAAAGATTCATTGCAATAATATATTATCATAATGAGAAAAGTGTGAAAATCATTTAAAAACACTTCTGTCAAATATAAAATGGAAAAAAAGTTTAAGATTTATTTCAGATTATTTGAAAATTTCATTTATGCTACATCTATTTTTCATTAACTTCAGCTAAATAACAATCCCTTGAACTAAGTTTTACAAGTATTTAAATGGGCAAATTTACATATTTACAAATTATTTTAGCATCTTTTTTTACATTTTAAAAACTGAAGAAATGCCCATCTGTAATTCTTTATTTTAGTAATCATGTCTTAGTTATCTAGTGCTGCTATAACAGAATACCACAAGAAGATGACTTTGACAAACAGAATATAATTTTCTCACAGTTTAGGAGTCTAGAAGTCTGAATTTCGTGTGGCTGTGCTAGGTGAAGACTTTCTCTCTCAGTTGGCTCTGGAAGAAGGTCCTCGTCTCTTTGAGTTCCAGCTCCTGGTCAATCTTCATTTAGCTCTGGCATCTCTCTGTCCCTACCTCTGCTTCTCTCACTTGCTTATTTTTCTCTTTTATATAA